AAAAAAAAAGAAAAAAGCAACATATACCTTTCCCACTACTCCTCTCCCCTCAAAGCCCAGCCACCCCAACCAAAACCCTAGTAGCCACTTCCCCCACCCCAGACTAACTCCTCAAACATATCATGTTATGAACCCAAATGCTTAGACCTCATAACTATTTGAATATAAAATTCCACCACGCACAGAGTCAATGTCCACGATGGCCAACTCTATCAACATTACCCTAATGATAGCTCTTTTCTTTTAGCGGTTCCACTCACCTATAAGTGTTCAACGCGATAATACTAGCACTATGTCCATACATAATACTAAGACATTTAATTCAGCTTATAAATCGCGCCATTTGTAATTTGAACTTGTGACATGGTGTCTTTGCTATGATTCTAATTATTATGACCCTTGGCTTTTGATTTCGTTACTTGCATGTGAATGGCAAGCGCACCAGGATTTTCACACGACCTATTTTGACTGCGGTCCTCCTAAGGTAAGGAACTTCAAGCTTTCCTAGAACTCCTAAGGATCAACAAGTTGACGGTAAAAACAGTCTGCTTTATTTCATTGGAACAACTCCATAAATAGAGTTTTATAGGCAAATTCAAATAAAAATACTAACTAATCAAATCCTATTGACTCGGGATACCAATCCTATCCCTTATCAACCTAACTATCAAATCCTAAATAGTTGAGATAACAATCCTATCCCTTACCCTAGCTATTTGTCTAGACCCATAACTAATCAGCCCTCCAAATCCAACCAATCCCCTAATGTTCAGATTGTCTCTATAGGTATATTTTGTCTAAAAATTAACTAATTAGGAGCCAAATGCTTCTACATCAAAGGATCTTCCACTTAAATTGACTCCTTGGTTAAGTAAAATGGGTCTATCTGTCACAAGCATGAATGTGACCTATCTTCTTTCAATTTCCATAATTTTACTTTCATATGCCTAATTACCATGAAAATGACCTCATTTCTTCAAACTAGGTCAATTTGTCTTATTACCCTTTTATGGAAAATGGGTAACTTAGAATTAAAGAAAAGGATTGAGACATTCTTCCACTCTCTGTATGATTGGGATGGTCATCAATGATCGACCCATGCAGTGTACCAATCCTCTATGATGCAAGTCTGGAGATGGGAGTATCCGACATATCTAATTTTAGTCAATAGTAGATCATTAGTCGTGTATTTGTGGGTGACTCATGTATGCGATGAATCTCACTTCAAGGAGAACATATTGAAGGACTTTCAATTCCATGGCATACGTACGATTTTTGTTTTTTTTAATTATTTTTCTTTTTCTCTTATATTTTTCTAAGTTATGGCTATATGCATCATAGTATAGGTAATGGTAGGTAGCTATGATCACTCTTCATAATTCCACATGCAAGCAAGTGAACAATCATGTGTTGGTCTTTGGCTTCATCTACTTGTATGGTTTAAGTTTTATAAAAGAACAAAGTAGTGCCAGCTTCCTTGGCTGTGCTGTGGGAATTGTTTTAGTCAATAATTAATCATCATTAGATCCAAGGAGTTTTTTTTTTTTTTTTTTTTGGGGGGGTGGGGGGGGGGGGCGACTACCCCCATGTGGCTTCACAGGACTTTACTGTTGTTTTCCCTTACATTTTTCTAAATTATTACAAAATTTATCATTGGAAATTAAGTATATTGCATGCATTTTTGGTTTATAGACGGGATTGATTTGAATTGGATTATAGAATTTCATCTACTTGGCATGGGAATAACACGATTGGTTAATCGTACTTTGACAATAATATTGAATTACTGAAATACATTTGGTAGTGACAACGATGACGATGGTGACAATAATAGCGAAAGGTGGTGATGGACATGAACATTGGTGACGATTGTGGCTGCAATATGGTGGCAATGGTTGTGTGTTCTTTCAAATGAGGGTAGTTTGTTCTTTTAAATCCTTATCCCATTCCCATACACGTACCAAATGCCGCATGATACAGGAATAATGTTAGTTTTAGTGAGGATTACAAATCAAACACGCTATTCATGAACAAGTCGGGATCAACTCAAATAAAAACTTATTTATTTGTCAAACGAATGACACTTGAACCAAGCAGTGATTTGTTCAACTTGGAAGACTAGTGAACATACATGTACTGAGTCGAGCTCATCACAATTCAAACTATCTTTATCTAACGAACTCAACGATTTGAGCTCCAACAACTTAGTACTCTATTCAGTTCATTCTCACCTTCACCTCTACTTTTAGTCCAATCCCTTCATTCTGCCTCACAACCAAAAGAATCTAATTTAGAACTGTTCTTGGGCCCAACAAAATGGACTGCTTGTCCAGCCCAACCACTCCTTTCCATTCCTAATTACCTCCCAATTTCTGACAATCCAATCATCTACTATGAATGAACTATTAATTCATTCAACTCCATCCTGTGACCCGAGTGGGATACGTGACGTCTACAGTCCACCACCCGGGTTTTCTATGGGTCGGGTCCAACTGACAACTAAATCTTGACAAAAACAAAAATACATACTTGATGATACCAACAGGAAATATGCAGTTCAAACAAGTCAGCAACACAATTGAAAAATTAGCTGCCTTGATTGAAGTCTAGCCGACCTGATTGAAGTCTGGCTGATTTGACTGATCAGAATTTAGGACGATCATGCATCGGTCAACTCAACAGTCACTGAAACAGCTCAACAAACGTTGGAAAAAAGGATAGAAGTGGAATTCCACCGGCAAATTCTATATTTCTATATTTAGCAAGAAGTCACTGTTTCTAGAATATCACGTTATACTTAAAGATTAGAATCTCTAACGACCAAATATTCAAATAGATAGAGAAAAATGAAATAATCATTATTTGAGGACCACACCGCCCTTGTATATAAATAGTCAAACCCTTGTATTGTTCGTGCATGGGCAATTGAAAGCCTCATTGTAATTTTCTTTTTTTTTTCCACAACTAATACAAAACAAAAAGAGAAAGAGTTTTCATTACAATGAACTAGTCTAACTCTTCAGTTCGACGAACCACTTATATCCTCGTGTTTTTGCCTATTGTTATCTTGACATTTCAGGTTCATTTCAAATGAAGGGATGCAATGCATTAATTCTAGTCACATTTGTTCAAAACAGAAGGCTTCGTTTGGCCCACAAGCCTGCTATATTGGAGCTTACATTTAATTAAAACTTCAACTACATTTAGGACAAGAAATAGTAACAGCTCCTAATGATAGGATAAATTGATAAAAATCGCATAATTGAATTTTCTACCGTTTTGTGTTTAAATTAATAGGTGAAGCACCAAACACAATCAACAAAAATTTAAAGTAGACAACGAAATCACACCATAAACAAGACGTAAAAACTTACATGATTCTGTATCAATAGTACAATAACACCCTTGATTTTAATTTGAGATAGTTTCAATTTTTTTTGCAAATTTTATTTATTTTTTTCAAATTTATCATTGAATTCTTGAAATGTAGAAATTAGTAATTCTCTCTAATTATTTGTTGAAATTAATAGAAAAATCATTATATTTATTGCAATTTACTTTATAAAGTTACTGATTTTTAATTTTATCTTGAATCTGATTATTTCTTCTTCTTCTTTTTTTTTTTGTAACTTTCAAATCATAACTATAGTCTCTTTTGTCCAATTTTTTTTCCATAAAAAATGGCAAAGTGAACAAAATAAGATACTGCTTGATAATGTTTTTTTTCTAAATAATTTTTTAAGTAAAAATTAATCTCTCAAAAAAATATATTTTCAATTAGTATTTTGTAAAAGTGATCTAGTAGTATTTTAGTAAATGAATAAAACTTTTATATACATGCATTATATATATATATATATATATAAAGAGAGAGAGAGAGAGAGAGAGAGATATGGTAAGAAAAGTAAGTTAATTCCCAACTAAAAAAAATAGAAAATACAATAAAACCAACACAAATTAAAAAGGTTAAAAGAAAAAAACAATTAAACTAGTTACCAAACGGTATTGAAAAAGTTTAGGAGGAAACTATGATATTTCTCTAAATTACTTATAAGACTTAATTACATTGGAAGTCCTAAAGTATAAAATTTCTCTCATTTTAGTCCTAAATATTTCAATTGCATCATTTTGATCTCTAAAATATTGAATATATTTTATATGTGGTTTCTTAAGTAGACAATATCCAAATTGCTAATTGTTTTTTATCATAAACTTGTTACGTGATACATAAATATAGACAAAAAATAATTTGGATAACTCTTGACCAAAATTTAGATAGCTCATGATCAAAATTATATAATTTGGGTAATTTTTTTTTACCAAAATTTGGATAAAAATTTAATCAAGAGTTATTCAAATTATATTTTTACCCATATTTAGATATTACGTGACAAATACACAAATTTTTTAATTGTCTAATCAAATTAAAGTTAGATATGAATAACATAACTGTAAATAGAAAATAATTATTTAACGAATATTATAGACAAAAAAATAGATATTTTTTAATTTTTATAAAATATTAATATAGTATTATATGAATTATCGTAAATGTAAAATATATGACACAATACAATTGAATTGACATAAAAATATTTTTTTATTGACTCAAACACGACACGAAAATGTTATGACACGATACGATTGAGAGCTATTTAATGAACATGAATTGATGGAATTCGTTTTGGAACATAACTGCGAAATATTTAAACTTTGAGGGGTGTAATTTATAATTAACATAAATTTTTCTAGTGGCAAAATAGATGACAGGTAATCTCATATACACATTAATACGTATTTATATCTTTCAGGATATAAATTAATATTTTTAAACTTAAAAGGTACAAATTAAAATTCGAGTAATCTTTTGGGTGCAAGTTGGGATTACCTCTACAAAGAATCCCTGCATAGAACAAGAAATTTCAGCCAACCAAACAGGCTCTAACGCTTACTATCGTCAACTACATATATATGGGAGGGAAGCTAGGAGAAAGGGCAGGGTGTACCACGTAAAGACTTTCCAAACCAATCCACTGGCACTAGTGATTCACATAGAATCTCTCTCTCTCTAGATTTTGTTCTTCGACGTTGTAACCCGGCTGCTCAATGGATGATGAATCAGACTCCTTCGAATTCTCCTCCGACTCTGAATCTTCCAGCGATAGCAACGAATCGTAAGTCACTCTTTGTTCTCACAACTTCTTTCTTCTTCTCTCTCATGATACACACACCACTTGGGCCAAGGGATTTAAAGTATGTTCTTGGTATTTGATTTGTACAGTGATGAATCGGCATTATCATCCGACGAAACGGAGAGAAGAGTAGCAAGAACAAATCAACTTCCTTATATTAGTACCGTGAGGGATGAATTTGGGTACAGTCAGGATTACTTTGAGTTTCTTGACCTGGTGAGAGACGAATTTGGATACAACAGTCAAGAATATTTTGAGTTTTATCAACTGATACAAAATCACGTAGAACAAAGGTTTGTTAAGCTAATTATGCACTTATATTGTCACATTGTCAATTTGAATTGTGTTTAGTGCGATAATTCTGTCATGTTGAGCATTTCTGATCCTTATCCAAACCCTTACTGAATTTTAAATTTGAGTAAAAACAACTTCCAATCTTTCAAATCAAAGGGAGACTCAAATCTTGAATGGTCAAATTTTATCCTCTTTTAAAGATCTTGTGATCATATTCTATCGTCGTTTAAATTTAGGTTTGTCTACTTATAATTTTAATTTTGAGTTTCTCCATTCAAATGCTGTGTATCAAATCTAGCTTTTTTTACTCAAATGTTAGACTCAAATTTGAGTAAAAACTTGAGTCAAAGCTGAAGATGATGTTATATGGTGTTGATGGGTATCATTTTCTTTTGAGCAAATTACACTAAGACTCCCTAATTGCACTAATTTTTCTGGTAAGTTTTAGCGTAGATTTTTGGCATACTAAGTTGGCAGGTTTCAATAATTTTTTTGGTTAATGTTGAAGTTTAATCCAAATTTCGAATTGTATTATTCAACTCGAGCTTAAAAATCTGAACATGGGTGGGGAACGCAGTTTCAGGGTTGCGGGCTCATTTACAATGGGAGATGGGGGAAAGGGAGAGTTAGACAGTGATGGTCTCCCACCGCTAATGGAGTCAATTGTTATGTTGGCCCCAAACTGCATGTTATGTGACCATTTTTATTTTTACGGGGGTGAAGTGCCATAAGGATACACCATGGGATGTAAAATGGAGTTTTCCCTATACCATAAGCACAGGAATTCTGCATGCATTCCTCCATTGCTCTTTACATTTGGAGTATATTCATCCTTTAGGGGAAAAGTAGCATTTAAAACTTTTCTGGTTGTCTGAAATTTCATCCTTCAGCAGGTTATGTTTTTATGTACTGGTGCAAGAAACCCTTATTCCTAATTAGTGGATATTGAGATAAGCACATGGCTTGTATAAGGTCTAAATTGTAACATCTTTTGTGTACTAGTTACATTCCAGAAGAGAAAAAAAGTATAATTACCTTTAATATACCAGCTAGAACTCATTCATTCTGTGCAGTTGTTATTACGAAATTGGTGTAATCATAGTATTGTTTTAATGTAATTCCTGTGGAAAACTTATTGTTTACTTGACCTGGAACCATATTGTAATAATAATTTTTGGAGTAGACAGATATAAAGAAATCATCAAGTTTTGGAGGGCTCAAAGTTCTCAGTTGAAGTTGTAGACCGCAGTGGAGTCACTATTGATTGTCAGATGTTTCTATATAAAGGATCTTGTGCAAGTTCTGCCTTCTGAATTTCACAGCTGTTTGGAAGTGAAGCTATATACTTTGTGGGTGTAATTGTCCACTCTTACCGCAGCCATTTCTGTTGATCATTTTAATGGAACCTTTTATTGTTTTCCAAAATTTAATGTCTTAGTGACAATCCATTTAGTGGTTACCGATCAAATATTTAAATTTTTTGGAGTTACGTTCCTGCATTTGCATTTGATTGCATTTTTTTTCCTCGAATAACCTTTTTTTCTCTTGACCATACCATGCACTTCATTATTGAACCACCCACATGGAGGGGAGATTTGTGTTTTGTTATTTAAAACTTGGATTCCCTTGTTTTTTGGTTTTGTGTGTGTGTGTATGTGTCTTTTAACAGTTTTAAGCATTCATTACATATTTTAATTGCTATTAGAGTAGAATGCACTTGCCTTCGTCATAGCTATCAATATAAATAAATCTCAATGGCCATCTAAATCTCTTTGCACAATTGATTAGTTACTGGTTGGTCAAGTCGAGCTGAAATCTCAACTTCTTGTGTAGGATTGATATCATGCAAGTCATATCAAGGGTCAAGGTGTTATTCAGCGAGCATCAGGAACTTCTTGTTGCTTTTAACACCTTCTTACCAATAGGATATCACATCTTGGTCCGGCAGAATACATCAGATCCAGAGTCTTTTATTGAAGCAGCACTCAACTTTGTTAACAAAGTTAAGGTAAAATGTTGTGGGAAACAAAACAAATTAAATTTCATCTAACCTTCTAATTCGATTCAGTTATGTTGCAATTGCAGACACGAACCCTACCCGACAGAAGACGCTATTACTCCTTTTTGAATATTATTAAAGGATTCCGCACTAACTTCATAGAGGCGTACCAAGAGGTTGTTGCCATTATTCATCTTATTGTTTCCTTTGTATCACTTGTATATTGGGATGGATTTAGCATTCTACGTTTCAGAATGTCATCCATTTCGTGTTTCGCTCCAGGGATGACATACTTACGCCTTGCCTGCTACACAAGAATAAATACAGAGGAGGGTCTTACTGTGTTTTGGGCGATGGCAGGAGGTTTCTGTTTTTCTTCTTCATACCATCCTTTTTTGTGATTCATTTTGTGCTAACAACTCTTACAACTTGGAGAGAAGTTCGGGGGCACAAGTTAATTGTCATAAATGGAGGCAAATTGACGTGAACTTTTGAGTGAGCAGAAGCTCTATAGTCATTATGGAAATGGCTCACAGTATATTACGAGCACGTTGTACACTGTTTACCACTTTGTGGCTACATCAGCATCCATTCTTACGTGCTTATATGTTTATTTGTCTTTTGTACGTCTGTGTGTGTATCAATAAACGGCCTTGGGGATAAGTAAAAAATGGATTTAGATGTGTACTAACGACCTCTCAGGCTCATCTCTTTTAAATCTGTGAGCCCTAACCAAGGAATAAGGGTGGTAAAGTTGGATGATTCTGTAAAAGGATTCCCCTTCAGAGGTATAAAACTCTTCCTACGTTTCATTGATTTTTTTTCCTGTTTTTCTTGTTGCAGATTTGCGCTTTTTTCCATGATATGCCAGATTTGCTCGATGAGTTCCATTACTTCTTTCCTGATTGAAACAAATCATTGACTGACATGGCAACACAAAGCAGAACAAAATATCCAGAACATAGAAAGGGGTTCCATGCTTTTGAACTTGGCTCCACTTTTCCTTTCATTACATCTCCTCATGGCTTTTGGAATGAGAATCAGGTCCCAACTTTATTCAACCGATAACTGAATTTTCTTTTAGGTGAGAAGCTTTCTAAAATAGATAACAGTGGATTTGCATAGTTCACATTGGTCTTACAGTAGACATTTGAAGCTCTTATAATTCACATTGGTCTTCCTTTTGGTGTATCAAACTTCTGTGTACATTTAGGTGAGTAGCTTAATAAAATAACTGAAATTGGAATGCGACAGTAGCGCCAATTTTTGTGTAGGTAGGATTTGATATTCTTCTGATTGATATGCTGCTTGCAACCATGTTTCTTAGTTTTAGATGACAAATGTGAAATGGAATTCTCCCTATGGCATGGTTTTCATCCATGTGGTTATTAAGCTTTCGTTCATTTTTGATAATTCATTGTGATACTGTGTATTCAGTAGTGTAGCTTGGCGTTTCTAACTTCTTAGTCTCTAACCATCATCTTAGGCTGCTCATCAGTGTCTGTGCATCTATAGTTTATTACTCTTTTATATGATCGTAAAAAGTTAGGTAAATTACATCCATCAGGGAAGTCAAATAACATTGAGACACTCTTTTGTTTGGGAAGTAACACTGACCTCCCCTCTGCTTTGGTTGTCGGTAGCAGATTCCCTCAACTGTCAATTTGCAATTAAAGAATTTTTCATTCATTTTTTTCTTCAAGTCATATATGGATAGATACAAGAAGGGAAGGAAGCTCACTATAATGTGCAAGTCTTGATATGAAATGAAGGGTCATGTCATGTGTATAGAGAAGAATTTTTCTTTTTTTTTTTGATTTATTGTTGGTTGATTATTACTGAGTTAGGAATGATACCAAATTGTTGTTCATGGTGGTATTGAGACCATATTGTATGGTATGATTAAATATCGACTCCCATGTTGTTCAAATTAGAGGACCACCCCTACTCCCACCCCACCCCGGGACACTAAGGAAACAAGTGAGGTAGGTGTAGAAGAACATCAATGGCACCTTTTGCTTTACCTGTGGGCCATATCAATATAAGTCTAGTGAGACACATGATTATGTATAGGAGTGGCAATTTCTAATTCAACACGGCGACACGACCTGAATTCAACACGAATTTAGTAACACGAAATATAAATGAGTCGTGTTTGTGTTTAATCTGTCAAACTTGAAAATTAACATGATCAATCCGTTTATTTAATAGTGTTGCCACTAACCCGACAATAACCTATTAACAACACAAACATTACTTGATAATTTTTTATCTAAAACTGACATGTTCAACCCGTTTAAATATAGTATATAAAAAAATTATGGTCTCAATTAAAAAATATGGTGATTATCATTCCCTTGGGGGGTGAAGGAAATATCTTAGCGTTAATTGGGTCAACACGAATACGAATATAATACGAAAATAAATAGGTCAACTTGATACGACACGAATGGTTAAATGAGTTGGGTTAGTGTTGACAAATGTTCGACACGAACTCGTAATGACCCGACATGACACGACTCGATTGCCACCCCTAATATTTATGTGTCAATGCTTAACAATAACAATTAAGTTTATGGACCTATTAGATTATTTTAGGTGGATATCATAACAAAAAAAACAAAGGATCGCAATTTATATTGGCACGATATGAGGTTGTGGGTTAGTGTTAATTAATTCATCACATGAATTTGAAAATAATATGATTTGTTAACAAGAATAACAAATGAGTTAAATTAGAACTAAACAAGAATAATTCGATTTATACACTGCAAAATCAAAACATTTTAACAAAATTGTATATTTTGTTCTATTTCTTTCTAAAGTATTTGCAAAACCATGGAATAAATGATTTTTTTTCACCTAGTTTTGCCAACATATTGATTGATTATATTTTTAATTTATGGGAGACCTCTTGGAGGGTTGATTTAGTTGAGAGACAACAAATTTTAGCCCGGGTCAACTTGAATGTGGCACGATAATAAGTAAGTTAAATTAGTGTAAAGACAATTGATACAATTAAGTAAATTGATTGGATTATAGTTGACAAGTTCTTAACATAATCCAAAAAAATAAAATCTGAACATATGTAGATTTCAGTACCATTAAGAATCAAATGTCGTTTCGGTATATTGTTTCAGTCACCTAAGAAATAGAAACGTTTCGTAAACAAAATGAAAAAAATAAAAATGTATAAATTATTTTTTCAAAATATTGATCGAAATATACAAAAGTATCTTAAAACATTCCAAAACAAATGGAAAAATACATTAAAATATTACAAAATATTATGGAATTCTTTTGAATATTAGAATTTCGATTTCATCACTGATTCATTTTAGCCTCTTTGAAAATGAAAATAATTTAGATATTTTGACCGTTTCAAAACAAAATTTTGATCCTTTGAGTACCATAATCAAGTCCTCAGTTATACTAACTGAACTTCTCTAAGATATTTTTTAATGAATGTTGCAGGTAGTTTGAACCAGCCAGGTCACAACCCATATACGACAAGTGCTGGCTAATCAGCCTCCTGGGCGAGAATATTAATCTGCCTAAGCAAAATGTGGAGATCTGCAAGCAAATGGACAAATTTTAAAGTGTTCATTTTGACAAATCATACCACACAATTTTTATTCATCTACCCTTCTTTTAAAATATGTATACCACAGTTTTTATTTAGTTTATTTGTTAATTCCTTTGGCGTATTCATCAATGAATCAACCAAAGAGAGGTAAATCAGCCAACAAATCAGTTCAACCCATTTTCTTTGTTAATTCTTTTGGTGGATTCAATCGTTGTGCAAATCAAATTTAAAGAAACCCTAGAAGATTATGTGCAAATCAAAATTGAAGAAATCCAGTAGTATTCTTCATGGGACAAGGTGAGTTCAGCTTCTCTACCTCGAAATTGATCTAAAATCGGATTTTTTATAATCAAAAAATTAGTTTAGTTCCTGTAGAATTGATGGTTGTTTGGTGTATTATTTATGGACTTGTGTAAATTTTCTTTATTTCGTTTTGGGTCACCACTCAACTATTTTAGATTTTTGTTGAAGCCCATGTTCAGATTGGCTATTTGAAATTCTTGGTTAGTGTTATTTTTGTTCCCTATGATTAAATTACTTGAATTGATTTCTTGAAATTCTAGTTTGAATTATATTTTGGATTTATGGATTATATTTTGATTATGTGTAGTCCATTATCTCATTTGTTACGAATCTAATGATGAATTCTTAAACTTGAATTTAATTAGACAAATTTATTTTTCAATCAGCTATGAATAGGTTTCTTATAAGAAAATCAACATTGAAACAACTGCCTCCTAGCTAAGAAATAGATGATCATGGTGATGACATATGACATTATTCTAATCAAAGTCGTGAAGAAATTAACTTAAAAAATCTTCCTGCGAATCCTGGGCTAAAAATTAGAATTTTCAATTATATTTGAAATCTTTTTTGATGGAAATTATTGACATGTCTGAATAAAAGTGAAAAATATTACATAATTTGTGTGGGAAAAATAACATAAATTTTTACTAAATATGTAACGAACGTTAATAATTAAGACAATGTGAAACTAATCACATAGTTAAGAGTGCACTGTAACAAAAATGTTGAGAAAAAAAAATTCATATTTGAGAGGGTCAAAGTATAATTTACCCAATTTGATAATAGTAAGCAGACATTGCTGCAGCTACAAAACTACCAAACTGAGTTTTTTGCAGCTAAAAGAATTAAAATATGAAGGATTTTACAATGATAACTTTTCGTCACAAAAAAAATTACGAACCAATTAGTTATAGACAAAATTGCAATCCAATAAGATCGATTAATCCCGAGTTTTTATACTTGAATCATTTTTTTGAGATTATTGATCAATGCATTTAACCACATTTAAGTACAACATGATCGTTTTGGATTGTAAGTTGGACAAAATTTGCTTTAATTTCGATCTCAAATCAACTGCACTCTTCTATCATGAATTAAGCATCACAAGTTTGAGCAACAAAATTGACACTAGTTGCAAACTTATCATGGGTCTTGGTGTGGTAGTAACATTGTCTTATTATGAATTCAGTATCATGAAATTAAATTACAGAAACAACCTTTTTCACACACAATCGCAAATAAGATTAAAATTGCGTACATCTGATTCTTTATAGATGATGCAATGGTAATAGCCTGCGGACTGTCCTTTATTTTTATTTTTAAGATATGCAATATCTTCCTTTATACGTTCTTCAAAGTGCAACAGACAGGTAATCAAACCAAACAAATGAGAAAAACTAAATGCTCAATTTTCTGGAAGCTGAGCCAGTATTATTCTTAGTTCCCTGCAGGTGGCCTACTTAAAGCAATATATATGTGTGTGTGTGTGTGTGGAAAATTTTTCCCCAATAAAACATACTCAAAGGTGGAAACCACCACTAAAAATCAGTCAATTTCAACAAGTTATGGTCCTGTGAATGAGAGAGAGACCCTGAAACAATACGCCAATGATCATTACATAATCGATATGATGCCCATAAATTACTACCTCAAGGATCTGCAATTCCCTCGACTGGATTCTTAGACGAAACACCATCTTCAGTTACATTGCCTCCAAGTTCATCCACCTTACTGTGTGAATGCATGAAGTAACAGAATTACTGCCACCATTTTTTCTCTGACAACGATATAAGCTGCACAAAAGAACAATCAGAAAGATTTCAATATAGCAGTAAGACACAAAGCAAAAGTTAACATATATACATACAACTGGGTCTCTTGTCACACTTCAAGATAAAAGATTCAACCACGATCATCAATCTAGTAAAAGTTCAACCCAACCAAAACATTACTAAAAGCATCAATTGCTCCCACGGAAGGCATGCCAAATTGGCAAGCAACAAACTTCAAAGAAAATCACTTGGTGCAACTTTGGTATTCCAAGTCATGATCTATTTTCGACTTTAAAATGACCTCAAAACAAACAACCATTGAAGAAGCCTGCATCTTGATGTTAGCTAAAATCATATATTCTGTAGACACAAGTTGCATAGCAAAGAGCAACACAATTTTTTTGTTTCTTCCCCTCTCCCTCATTGGCCCCTCAAAGCAAATCAATATCCAAATTCTCAACATTTGATTGTTATGCATAGGAATAATAGAGTTATCTTACTTATCAACAACTTTTACAAACTTATAGTAATGCAAAGTTAGCTTACTTATCGACAGAAAAATAATGTACAGTTTTAGCAAACAGTCTAGAAAGACTAGATGGGCTAGCAATCATGCTGACCATGCCCCAATATAACTTGCAACTGTACCAATTGAACCTAAAAAATTATCAAGAGTTCTACAGGTGTTTTTATAAAAAAATACCAATATAATGCATACATATATGCACAGAAGAACATGTAAAAGATATATACTACAAACCTGACGAGCAACCTGGGCTAGTCGCCGACTGTCCCTAGATGATTCTGTTATCAAACTGGACTTCTGTGGCTCAACGAAACCAGTTTGTTTCTCCTCAGGTTTTCCCTCAAAAGTGCTTGTTTCAAGAGAATTATTCCCCTCAATGCTAGTCAAAGAGACTCTTTTTCGTTTCCTTTGGAATGTGTACTTGATAATCCTATCAGGTACGGGTTGAGTAGGAACCCCATGAGTTGTATCAGGTGCTTTTGACCCTTCTGAGTCCTCTAATGGCACATCAACTTCCTCAATATTCATTCTACCAATTGGAGCACCTGAACTCTCGGTAGATCCAATTTGTTGTCTCATTAGCAACAACTTATCTACCAATATATCATCATTAACCATTGTGCTTTGAAAATCACAAGCTTTAACAAACTCTGCATCACTTCCATTAGTTTCTGCACATCCCAGCTGTATGCTCATTCCAGTGTTATCTGAAGTTAATCTTGGGGCCATCTCAGAAGAGTTTTCAGTGGAGGGAACATTGTTATTAACTGGAGTTGAATGAGTACCCAAGCAGGGTATAGCAGGTGCTTGAGCCATCTTCATAGATTGTTCAGGAAGAAACCCGCAAGAGATTGTTCTATATTTCCTCTTTCTAGTAACTCTCTTTCTTTTTCTACAAACAGTCGTGACAGCCTGAACTTTGTACCAGCTGCCAAGCCTGCTATTTGGGTGCACTCCCTTGTTCTCTGTACACATATGGTCGGCCTCATGAGTGGGTTTTGTACAGATCCTTTCATCTTTCTCATCTTCTCTTACACTTGTCTCATGCTTTACATCATTTATTAGTTCAGAAAGAGACAATGCCTTATTCAACGCCTTCCTTTTACATGCACGAATTGTGGGTGTCGTACAGATCCTTTCACCTTTTTCATCTTCTCTTACACTTAGTCCAGAATAAGACAATGCCTTACTCAACGCCTTCCTTTTACATGCACGAATTCTCTGGGTGCACCCATTTCTGTACAGCTCAGGCTCTTTTCTTCTTAATATTATCGAGGGAATATCAGGATTTCCCATATAGGAATTCCCAGTATGAACTATCGAACTAGAGCACTTATTGCCCTCATTACCCGGATTCAAATATAAATTCCTCATGTTAGAAGCTGCGATATATTCATGTTGTGATTGTGGATGAGGGAATATGAGAGTCTGAGAAGTATAGAGTCCGTCAATCTCTGATTTTTCCTCAGGAGTAGCCATATCAAGTTCATCCGGAGGCTGTACTTTGTTGTTTGACACCCTCTCCAGTTCAGCCTGCACTTCTCTCAGCTCTTCTCTGAGGTCTCTTACGATGTCCTCAGCTTCGTGGAGTTGTGCTTCGAGTTCTTCAATCGTTTTCTGTTGATTTGAGGATTTAATCTCTGCTTCACAAATCTGTAAAACAATGTATAAACGCCATATGTTAGAGTAAATAAGGAAGTAAATCATTGCGATGGCAAGTGAGATAAACCTGTCTCCATTTGTCGTCAGTAAAATTAACCAATGTCTTTTACTACGTGCAAGGAACGCTAATGTTCATATGCGTTGGATTACTGGAAACTCCAAACGAACAAGCCGCTAGATAATGGAGCCAAAAATGTATTTAACAAAACATCTTCCCCAAATGTGATTTCCCTCTAGCACTTGGAATCAAAATTCTCATGCTTCGAGGTGTTTTGAGCTGTTTGAAAATGTTTCGAGTTGTTTCGAGATATTTCAGAATGTTTCCACCAATGTTTCGAAGTGTTTCAAGAAGTTTCGGTTTATTTTGACTAATGTTTAGGAATGTATGAAAAAATAAATTTTCAAACTTTCTATTCGTTTTCATACTGTTTTGGAAACGATGCACCGCAACGAAATTTTGATCCATGTTAGGGAGACTTGAACACACTACCATACAATACCAGAGCTTTGGAAACACATTATATTACCAGTTCCTTTACAGAATTCATGCAACAATCCTTATCAAGCTCTCAACAACATGGGTCATGAGGAAAACTTGAAACTCAACTTCGCTGCTTAACTACCAGCAAATGGTTGATCTAACACAGAATTAGCATTCTAATCATTAGCGCGTGCCAGTGCCCTACACTTCATAAACACATTCTCCAGTATAGAGCTTGTACAACAACAGTATTTCAATAAATTGTAAACTTCCACAATTTTCCTGACTTCCAGGACAATCAGAGACCAACCAAAGGAAAACTAAAACTTGCACACATACTGTTGACATGCAAATACTTAAAACCCAAATGTAAGTAGCAAATCTAATGAGAGGCTTAACCTGTAAGGCTGAAACACAGCTATCCAGTCAGTCATTGCTAGAAATTTATTTTTCCCGGCGAATATGGTATCTAATTGCAATATGGGAATGGAAATGATCCTAATTCCAAGGCTACAACCAATTTGACAGATGTCGGCCTAGTCCCTCAAGCAAAGTTTCAAATTCAAGGCAAAATCATGCTATTTTATGTCAAAAAACTCAGAAATTTGTTGGATTAGTCACCAATTTTCCTTAGGCAAGAAACAAGTAAGAAGTGGGTTGCCTTGATTTTCCAAATACAAATATCACAGAAAGGATGCAGTAGCAGAAAATATTGCATTTGACTACTGGATTTGTAGAAGGTCTCTTATCTGAAACTGATTCCACCAAAAAGTACAGAATTCCATTAAAAAGAACAACAAAGAAAGACCAAGATGGAAGAAGAACACAACATTAATAATCAAAATTTAAAAGTATACAGATTCACACCCATACATCAATACATTAAAAATTAAAGGTCAAATAAATATAACATTCATGACCAAAGATCCAAATTTCATTTCGAAATAATTGAATCGTTTTTCCAAAAAGTTTCGTAGCGTGTCGAAATGTTTTGACATGTTTCCAATGGCCAATGTTTAGGAAAAAAATTTCCAAATTTATTATTTGTTTTTATCATTTGCGAAACATTTTTGTTTCGGATGTGACTGAACTAATACACTAAAACGAAATTTTAATCCTTACTAGTCACATAGTATAGAATAACAGTGTTTCCCAAGACATCAGGTCATGGCATCTAACACACATATTAAGACTATGTTAACATAGATTGTGGTGAACCTAGTAACAGAGTCCAAAGATGAAATATATAGGTGGCAGTTAACGTATTATATGAACCTAAGAACCTTGAATTCAAACCACACCAACAATAATACCTCCTAAAGTACACAATAGATCACATGAACAAACCACCCAAGTGTGATCGCAAGTAGGGGAAAGGGTCATGGACAACTATATATTGTACCATATCTATTTGCTTAAGCTTTTAGATAAAATAGTGATTAAAAAGTTATTCTCAAATTGGTGACATAATATCAAAAAACCCCTATTGTTTCCCAGCCACGTATTCTTTTTCTTCGAAAGACAAGAAGATTCTTGGAGAGATTGACTCGATAAATCTTCAGCGAATAGCTATCATTTTGCTCAGATACTAAGATCAAAGTGCAAACTATTGTCCAATCAGCAAAACCAGAAGAAAAAGTTGGGACCTTTTTAACAAGCTTAAGGAACTGAGATCAACTTTCTCTTCTCTGAGAAGGGAACTAGAATTTTATGTTGAACATGGATATGAATGAGCAAAACACTCTATAAAATATGGCACCAAAGTTCTCAATGTCGGTAGGAATACCCTTAAAGGATCAATTCCATAGGATCCGTAATCCTGTATGTGGCATACCTTAACAAAACAATAAGAGGAAGGCTTCAAGTCTCAATTAAGTTCAATTTATTTGCACCTAACATACTAACATAGTTCATAGTTTTACATTTCGAATTAGACTATGATCTTAAGATTATCATTCTTTTTGTTCCTCTCTAATTGAAGTTAAGAAAGGATTTCAATAGACAATTTGCCTTGCATTCCTAAATTAAAGAAAATTGCAATTTCATGAGACTTGGAGATGGAAAATAAGGTCATTACTTCACATGCAAAGCAAAGTAACGTCTTGGAAAATACGATGCATGAGTTTCATTACCACCATTTAATATAACTCATGAGTTTCAAAATAGTGTGCCCATTCCTCTTCAATCCATGTGAATAAGTTGTTTAACCTAAAACGAAATTCTAGTCTTTGGTTTCTTATTATAATTGTAGAATTGAATGCTAAAAGCATCACCCTTAACAATTGGTAACAATGAATATTTGTCTATAAAGGACAAGACATATTTGTCAAAAGTGAATTACATGACTACAAAAGCAAGAAGGCAAAGAAGAAAATGAAATAATAAAAAAAAAAATTCTACGTCACTTTTCACTTTTCATAACACCAAGTGTTAATAGTAGCCAATCTAAAGGTAAGTTTCTAATTTGTCTTTTTTTTTAAAAAAAAATGACTCTAAGAAGCATGATAGAATTTCCAAATAACTTTAGAACAATTCAACTCAACTTAACACCACATTATCCAACTATTTAGAGTCAACATTTGAATTTTCTTTCTCCATCGTTCTCTATCGAAGGTCATATTTCCTATTAAACCGTAAGCTATCACATTTTTTTAGCTCAACCTCTCACATTAAATCAACTCAATTCTCCACAACAAAATAGCTAAAGAGTCATGGTCATGAATGAGTGAACTTCTTATTGTTATTCTTCATTATTAGTCACATGTTGCACTAACAAGTTACATCATCATGGCATCAAAGCTAGAAAAGACTCAATGTAATAAAACTGTCAGAAACTTGGAAGTATAGTAAATAAAATCGGGAATTGGAGTGGCCAATTCAGAATGGAACGAAGATAGCATATTAGATTTGGAGGGCCATATTGAAAATATCAAGATGTTAGGAGGGGCACCTTAATAGTTCTGAAAGTCTCATGGAATTTATTTAGGAGTCCCAAAAGGCACCTGGCTTGTACATGGCTCTACTAATGAGTAACAACCTACATTTATTGATATGCTCTGGAATAGCCAACACAACCAGACAATGCATGGGATATAACAATATTTTGAATCATTCCTGTCATAACAGTGGAGAATTTGTACTCAACGAATAAGGAAACTTCAAAAAATGACAGAATTGTTAATCTCCTTCAACATTTTTCAAATCAACAAATTGAAGCCCCCATTTAAATTATGTAACACAGAAAGAGTCAATTTTCAAGCACTTTCTGCTTCAAAAAAGTTCCCTATTTCAAAAATAATGCCAGTACAAATTTTAGAAAACCCATCAATCAGACAAGATTGGTTGTCTAAGAAACTAAAATAGTTCCAAAAAAAAAAAATTAATAGAATCACACATAAAAGAAAGAAGGCCCTGATCACTTCAACTCACCCAGATGGAAGATAAAACTAGGTCTTACGCAATTAGTAGGGAACAGAGGAGCAACCTACTCTTACCTTTAGGACCGACCAATAACAACCTATTCTCTTACACAATCGTTTCTGTACTCAGATATGTTGCTACTAGCAGAGAAATGACTCTAGTTATGCCTTTATTTAGGAAGGCACACTCATACCAATAAACACAATTAAGTAAACTTTTCACATCAATGTCAATATGGATGGATAGGGAACTCTTCCAGTGATTATACAACATAATCAACTTGCAAACCTCCCAATTGAAAATCCTCACCACAAACATCAAATAAATCACATAACAGTAGCTACAATGAAATCCCAGATAAGAAAACAGCCTAACACTCATCTAATTCCAGTACCCAGCTACAAAAAATATATGCATTGAAAACAATTAATTAAAAACGTTGAAACCAAAACAAAAGGAAAACCCATTAGCCAAAAGTAAAATTCACCTTAGAATCCATCATTTGTTTCAGTCTCAGCAACATCTGAAGAGCCTCTTCTTTTGCCGCATACAGCTCACGCTGAAACCGAAGAGCTCTCTTCTCCGAAACCATAATCCTGGCCGCGGCCTCTTTAGCCGTATTCAAAATTATATCGGCATAGGCCTTTTTCAAGGCCGTTAATCTCTGCATCAAAATTTACAGACCCATAAAAAAATCATAAGCAAAAAACCCATATCACACCAATGAAGTGAAGAAAAAGAAAATCAAAATCGATCCCCACTTAAAAAAAATGCCCTAAAAAAACCGTTAAAACAGGAGTAAAGTGGTGGTTGGTGGTGGTTAAGAAGGTTGCGCCGCTGTGGGTGGTGGTTGGGGGTCAGATTGCCGTAATGAGCTGTAGATTGTTACCTCGTCGGAGTCCATTTGGTTTCCTTAAAGCACCGGAGTTTTGGTTTGGTATTCGACCTGCGTGAGAGAGAGAGAGAGAGAGAGAGAGGGAGTTTGTTCTCTTCTCTTCTCTCTCTCCTTAGTACAGCAGCTGTCTGTTATGAACTGAAAGTTCTGTTGCCCTTCTTACTAAATTGCCCCCTATTCACGCCTTTAATTACTAAACTGCCATTGAAGATGACAAAACTGTTGCACTGGTTCGGTTTAAATTTTGGGTTTTGGGTTTCCCTATGAAACGTGCCCCACACACTGGTTGTCCCATTTTTATGACGTGGATTTATTTGCAATAGTCACGCGGATGATTGACACATGGCTCGATGCATGTGATGACTTTTGGGAAAGCTGATGAAAGTGGGCCCCGGTGGGTTTGTTTGACGGTTGTGATTGAGAAGCGCAGTGGGGTCGCGAACAGGTGATTATTTAGGTTAGCGGTTGGATTTCGCCAATGTAGTTAAGACGTTGACTAAAATTGACGGACCATATACGAGTTTTAAATATGAGTGATGGATTGGTCACACCAAATCAAAATGGCGGGAAATTGCCCAATCAGTTGGCGGAAAGAACACTTCAACATTTTTTTCCTTTTCTCAGACACGCACAAATTAAATATAATATTGAAGCTGCCTATTCACCCTCGGAGTCGCTAACCACAATTTACATACAATATGAACCGACTAAAAACTTGATTATTGATACGTTGACCGGTCTAATAAGAATTGAAAAAAAACAAACAAAATGATTACAGAGGTTAAACACGTATTTTAAATCATAAATGTATTAGATGTATTTTGACTCGTCACACTTTAAATACGACACAAAATTGACATAAGATGACACATTAACAATTATAATTCGAGACCGAGTTGTCGATGCCTAGACCAGGAGAACATGCATCACAAGGGGACAAAGATGCACTCGAAGTAAACTGAGGAGTAAATTATTTTTGGGAACCGCACCACAAGCAAAATATTAATATGATAGATAATCATGGCCTTGTCATAATTAAATTAGAACCTTCCTCAAACCGTTGGAATGGTAGAGGCATAGCCCTCATTAACAGAATAGTCCAAGGGGGCGTCAAATTGAATACTCGGCACTGAGCCATAAATGTTTGGGTCCAAACTGTGAGTACTTGGCATAGAACACTTGATGTTCAGGATGAACTGATGGTTAGGAGGCAGTGCATCATAAAACTCGGTTTCCCGGATAATGAGGTCACGATTGTGTTATGTTTCCAAGCATTAATGGGGCACGATAGGATCACACTTATTATGTAGTTCAAGGACAAGATCTAATGTGATGGCCTTCTTGGGGAGGATTTTGGTTGTAGGCTACCGAACCTTATTTTTGAGTACTTGAGTGCTAGCCATATTATCACATTTGATTGTATAACTCCCCCAATGAAACAGAACAACAGGTATGCATGTTGAACTAGTTTTGCACTGTACATTTATCCTCTCAACCTTGAACGTCGACTAACTAAAGTTTCAGAGGAAATAACTTGGGTACAATCTCAGCCTCTTGCTAACTTCGTTCCTTGTTTCAGGAATCTCATTCCAACTCACCTTGGAACAGTTTATCTCAAATTATTATAGGAAATCACATGTGCAGCCTTCATCCAAGTGTACAAAGATGCCTTTAGAAAAATTCCTTGGAGGTGATCTTAACCAAGGCTTAAATCAATGATCTTGAAGCTCTTTTTCAAGAACTCTGTCACTCCATAAACAGTTGTAGATTGAGCACAATGATAGTACTTGTAGGCTCGAAAGTTGTATATACTTAATAATTTATTTTCATGTTGGGGGACTAGATGTTTTGGTGTATGGTGTTGCGAGATTCTAGTAAATCAATTAATGACAAAATGTGAATCTTTCAAATGAGAATTATATGAGAAGTAAAATTGCCAAAAAACAATAGATATTGTAAATGAAATGAAAATGAAAACCTAACAGAGATGATGAACTAGAAAGTAAATATCCAAAATTAAGATGAACAATTTTAGAAATAAAGATTGATTAAAAATCTAGATTTAGAGAGTGAGAAAGAGAGACAAATTAATTTATGTTCCACAGTTTTTTAATCTGGAGGATTTCATCCATTCAAATCAGCCAAAAATAACATATAATTGGACTAAAAACAAAGACAGAGTCAAATAGAGAGGAGAGTGGACACTTGTCATCTTGAGTTTCTGATTCCCCTCTATTTATGTATTGTTAAGAGATAACAACTTGGTTATTTTAACACAGTTGCCTCCCTGATTTTTGGAAATGTTTACAATGGTCCTAACTTTTTTTTTTGGGGTAAATCATTTTTTTTTGTTTTCTTGATTGAGTAAATCAACGAAATAAATGATGATTTCAACTAAATTTCGCAACAAAGAATAATGATTTTTTTTATCACAAATTTGAAATAACTTCATATTCTACTTTAGTACGTGATTGAGTTGAAATGTTATAATATAGGTTATTTTACGATTTTTTGTTCACATTTTGTTTAAGTTAAATGGAAATTGGTTTTATCATTTTAATAGTAATTTAGTGTTGAATCCTAAATTTTTAGTATGCTTGCGAAATCCTAGCTTTGCCTCTGACTAAAAACAAAAAAATATTCTCAAGAAATATAGTTGGAATATCCACGTCTCAAATTTGAATAGATTTCACGGGGTGATCCAACAAACTATGACATATTAAATTAGCAAATTTGTTTAATAAATTAAAAAGTGATCTGTGTCATATAAATCGTCTACTGAAGCTAACCATACTAGTAATAATGGTGGTTCGGTGGTCGGAGTGGAAAGTGTGGTTCGGATGATGGTCTAGCTGGGGTCTTAGAAGGGAGAAAATATTGGGTGTAACGGTGACACTATATCATTATTGATATGTGGTTTCAGTATATAATAATAAACCTACAAATGAGTAAGATAAATTCCACTTGGGTGTTATATAATATAAAACATGATAGATTTCAATAAGCCCATTTGATGGTTTAAAATAGACTCATTTAATGATTACTAACATTCCTCTCAAAATCATTCAGATTACACTGTATCTTTAGACACGAGTTATCTCTAGTTAAATGATATGACAGGGTAGTTTGGATCCACCTATCCATATGGTATCTTATCATTGGAAAGTTGCACACAATATTTTTTCCTTAGAAGGGGATAGGTATTCAACCGCAAATAAGGGTGTCCATGGCCCAAGCCGAGCCGGATTAGGCTTGCGAAATTTTTTCGGACCAGTTTAAGTTGAGTAAGCCCAAACCCTTATTCAAGTGAGTTATAAGCCGGATTTCAGGTAGGAGTAGGCTACCTGCAGTTCAACCTGTCACTCATTAAGCAAACCTTTTTTTATATATATATAATCCTATTTAAAAAGTGTTCAACTTAATATTTTTTTAAATTATATTTTTTAATTAAAAGTAGAGTTAAATTGATAAAAAGTAAATAATGAATAATTTTGTTTAAATAAAGTAGAGTCATATATTGTCTCCAAACTTTCAAATTTTCAATGGTCAATTTTTTATCAAAAAAATGGATGAAAGGGCAGACGGGCTGGGCGGGCGAGCTGTTGGGCCAAGTTTTCAAGCGGGATAATGGGTTTGAGGGTAAGTCTAAGCCCAAGCCTCAAGCCCTCTTTTAAAGAATTTTAGACTCAAACTCAGACAGACCAACTATCGGACTTTGGGCCAAATAATGAGACTGTGGGCCAATCCGAACCATGGACACCCCCTAGCAAGAAACTACAGATTTAGATGGGAGCAATCTCATGGATGTATGGGATCTCACTAATTTGAATATGAAAAATAGAGTAATGATGCAATGTGAAAATTTGGGGAGTAATATATGTTTGGATTATGCGATAGAGGAACTTTTAATTACAAAAATTCAAATTAGAGCGAGAAACGATAAGACCTTTGGAGAAAGCTTACCTTAATTCTTTGACGATGAATAGATGCTTCCCATATGTGGTCATACCCATCCTAGATCCAACTACAAAGGAAACTCAATCTACCTTTGAAACTACAAATAATGGCACTGCTACAAATGGGGCCCAAACCAACAAAAAAAACAAGTTAATAAATACAAATCCAAAGGGAAAATGATCGATCTAGTAGAGCAAAATAGAAAAGAACCCTGAGAACTTGGAAGAAACGTGGCTAGAGCAAAGAATGATTATGTGAATCTAGTGATTGATACAATAAAGGGGGGGGGGGGGGGAAGATGAAGGGTCTTCGACGGGTGCTTGGGAGGTGGAGGTGGAGGTGTTCTCAAATTCAAAGAAACGAAAGCAAATTGGGCAAGTAAACTTTTTCGATGGAGTTTGGTATCTAGACTAGTCGATCACCATGAATCTATTAAGATGGAACTACCAAGGTATTGAACAACCTCAAATAGTTCATTTTCTTTATGAATTTGTGAAGAAGGAAAGGCCTAATTTTGTTTTCTTGATGGAAACAAAATGTAAAATATATGGTGCTAAGAGGTTGAAAATGCAACTGAGAATTAATGAGATAGTTGTGGAGGCGATTGAGTAGTTGAGGGGTTTGGCTTTGCTATGGTAGAAAGATATCTTTGAAATTCTTATTGATGATGTACAAAACTATATCGTGCAAGATCAACAGTCAAGTGTGTGATATGGTATAATTAATGAATAATAAATAAAGCAATCAATGACAGTAATGTAAATATTGAGTCAACATGCATATATATAGTGATTCGGTTCGAGTGATTTACTTCACTCTCGAAAAACGATAGTGGTGGCCGGAGGTCTTTATTGATCAAGTAGAGTCTCTGGGAGAGATACAATAGGTAGGAGAAAGAAAATGTGTGTACATGCAAAACTTAATGTGTACAGAGATGCCAAGATGTAGAGATGTCTCTCAATATAAAGAGATCTTATAATTTATAGGTATGGTAAAACGGTGATATGAGTGTGAATGTACTAATTCTTCATGGAGGATAGTTACAAAAAGTAGGTACAATTAAGATAAGATTGATCTTCGTTAGTGTGTATCTCGATAATCCTTCTTTCACGTGCTGTTATCTTCCTGAACTTTTTGGATCTAGGACTAGGTCGAACTGATGAACCAGACTTGGACTGTCTTTGTGGTGGATATGTGCTTGCTTGATTTATTGGGTCTGACCTAATTAAATTTGGACTCGTTACTTACTAATACCGATAAGAAAGATGGAAAAGATAAATCAAACTGAAAATTGAAGACTTTTAGAGACGTTCTAAATTACTGTGCATCGGTGGACCAAGGTCACGAGGGATACGGCGCACATGTAATAAATGTGGCACACCAGTTAACTAGGCATGCAAGTTGCCTTAACGAGTCTGACAATACATGGGAAGAAATGATTTGATTTCATAGCGTGATTCTTATTTTTAGATATTTCTAATTAATGAAAATTTTCATTCCTCTCAAGAAAAAAAAAAAAAAAAAAAGCCAATGATGTGACAACAGGGGGTTGGCTAAGACCCACGTATTATGAACGAGGAGAAAACAATTATTATAATGGTGATATGATGTCATCGGTGTTATATGATATCATCAAATAATAAAAATATATTATATAAAATAAATAAATCCCACTATTTTTATAATTTTCAATAATCACCCTGTTTTGACCAAAAAAATAAAAAATAATCAATCTGCTGATTAACTAACACATTAAAATAATAAAATTTACTTATTCTATACGATATATTTTAAATTGGTGATAATATTTGACACCATTGTAATGACTATTTACTCGTTAAGAGACGAGACAATTAGTATCGCTTAATCCTGTTTACTGATTAACTGAATACCAGTCTTCATTACTGTCAAGCGCCAAACTCCTGTTACCAGAACTTTCACTACCTTCGTCAACCCCAAGCTCGCCCCCATTCATTCCCGGAACTCAGTCTCCCTCACTCCATCTTCTTCACTCCGACCTCACACAAATCCCGACATTAAACACAGCCCCAACGCCTCATGCTCACCGACACACCACCAATATGACCCTCTCTTGCCAGTCTCTCTCCTCCCCAATTCTCATCCGCACCACCACCACCACCCTCCAACATTTCCCATTTCCCGCCACTATACCCAGCAACCTCTCAGCCACCGGAGGCCGGAGACTTCTGGGTTCCTACATTCTCAGAGCAAGAGGAAAAGAACTAGTCCTCGGAAACCCATCGGTCACCGTCGAGAAAGGTAAGTACAGCTACGACGTCGAAACCCTAATCAAAAAGCTCTCTAGCCTCCCACCAGGAGGCAGCGTTGCTCGCTGCCTTGACACCTTCAAGAACAAGCTTTCCCTCAATGATTTTGCCTTAGCGTTCAAAGAGTTCGCTCACCGCGGCGACTGGCAGCGCTCGCTCCGCCTCTTCAAGTACATGCAGCGACAGATCTGGTGTAAGCCCAACGAACACATCTACACAATCATAATTGGCGTGCTTGGCCGCGAAGGACTTTTAGATAAAGCCTATGAGATATTCGACGAAATGCCCAGCCACGGTGTTCCGCGTAGTGTCTTTTCGTTCACGTCAATTATTAATTCATATGGTCGAAATGGCCAGTTTGAGACCGCATTAGAACTTTTGAAGAGAATGAAAAAGGAAAAAGTTCAGCCGAGCATTTTGACTTATAATACAGTGATTAATGCTTGTGCTAGAGGCGGGTATGAATGCGAGGGGTTGCTAAGTTTGTTTGCCGAAATGCGGCATGAGGGTATTCAACCCGATATTGTTACTTATAATACATTGCTTAGTGCTTGTGCCCATCGGAGTTCAGGGGATGAGGCAGAAATGGTGTTTAGGACAATGAATGAGGGTGGGATTGTACCGGATATAACGACATACAGTTATTTAGTTGATACGTTTGGTAGATTGGAGAAATTAGAAAAGGTTTCAGAGCTTTTGAGGGAAATGGAAGATGGAGGGAACTTACCAGAGATAACGTCCTATAATGTGCTATTAGAGGCGTATGTGCATTCAGAGAAAATTAAGGAGGCAATGGGGGTGTTTAGGCAAATGCAGGCTGCAGGGTGTGTGCCCAATGCGGCGACTTTTACTATTTTGTTGAATTTGTATGGGAAGCATGGTAGGTATGATGATATTAGGGAGCTTTTTCTTGAGATGAAAGTGAGTAACACGGATCTGGATCCGAGTACTTACAATATTCTTATTGAGGTGTTTGGTGAAGGTGGGTATTTTAAGGAGGTGGTGACTTTATTTCATGATATGGTAGAGGAAAATGTTGAGCCAAATATGGAGACTTACGAGGGGTTGATATTTGCTTGAGGGAAGGGAGGGCTTCATGAGGATGCAAAGAAAATTTTACTTCATATGAATGGGAAGGGACTAGTACCGAGTTCAAAGGCTTTTACGGGGGTAATTGCCGCATATGGACAGGCTGCATTGTATGAGGAGGCTCTTGTTGCTTTTAATACTATGAATGAAGTTGGGAGCAAACCAACTATTGAGATCTTCAACTCTTTGATTTACACATTCTCAAGAGGGGGACTTTACAAGGAGACTGAAGCAGTCTTGTCCAGAATGAGTGAGGTTGGGGTTCCACGGAACAGGGATTCGATTAATGGTCTCATTGAAGGATTTAGACAGGGAGGCCAATTTGAAGAAGCTATAAGGGCTTATGTTGAGATGGAAAAGGTGAGGTGCGATCCCGATGAGCGGACCCTTGAGGCGGTTTTGAGTGTTTACTGCTTTGCAGGTCTTGTTGTCGAGAGTATGGAGCAATTTCAGGAAATTAAACATTGGGAATATTACCCAGTGTCATGTGCTACTGTATGATGCTGTCCATTTATGCAAAGAGTGACAGGTCAGTGATTCATACAGTTATTAATGATTCCTTTTCCATTTTAATCTGCAAGAGTTGATTAGATGCTGATGGTTTTCTTAATTGTCATTTGCTAGACTTGATAACAGTCTTTACATTAACATGGTTGCATTGCAACTTAGATTATTTTTTAGTGCATTTCCATATTGTTAATTGTCATTTGCTTCAACTACGTCCACCTGAATATGTAGTGGGTGATGTTCTTTGGACATGATACCATCAATTATACTCTAGGGACAAAAACTAACTGGAGAGGAGAATTTTCATGGTTTAGTTTTGATGTTTAAGTACATTGGGGACCAAACTCATACACGGTGGCATCATAATCCATGGCTCTAGGTTCCTTCTCACTTTATGGATTTGAAAATTTTGAATCACCCTCCTTTCTCCCAACCCTTTATTTACTAAGCCTAGAAATGGCCACTCTTGCATGAGCACTAGGGGTGGCAATCGTGTCGTGTCGGGTTGTGTCCGGGTCGTGTCATGTCGGGTTCGGGTTGAAAACACATCAATCCAAACACGACTTGCGAGTTAAACGGGTTAGGTCATTTGGACACGAACACGACCTGACTCGAAACACAACTAACGCGACATGACCTGTGACCCGAGATTTACACAGGTCGTGTTCGGGTAAACACGACCCAACCCTAACAAAACCCAACTGACACGACCCAACCCGACATGACCTAACAAAAAAAGGAAAAATTTAGACATGTTACAAATATCTCAAATACAAATCTACATAAAACAAAGGCATTAAAAACATCACAAATATCCCAAAAACAAATACAAATCTCCATAATATTACAAATATTCAAAAAGCTTTACTAATATCCCAAAGCAATATTAAAAGCATCTTTCAAATTCTCTTCATCTCTTAAATCTGGCCAACATCAACATTCAAGATCCACTATCCCCTATAAAAAGCCCACATAAAAAGAGTTAGGTTTAATGACTCAACACACATCAACAAACACATAAGATTGAGAAATAGAGTTTAAGTTTTATGACTCACACACATCAATAATCAAGATCCACAATCACATTCATACTCAACGAATTGAAAGGGCAAATCATGTCTAATTATTGCACGTATTAACATCTCTCAAAATTTATTCTCGTTAAACTTCAAAGACTGTGCAGTAATAGACTCTTGACTTTGACTTAAAATCATCTGGCCCACATCATGTTGTTTCAAACAAGTCTTTAAATGACGCCATAAATTACCAGTTCCATAGTTACTAACAGCATTATACTCAATCTTACATTTGTTGCATTGTGCCTTTAAAATATTGTCTTGATTTACATACTTTCTAAAAAACTCCCATACCTCTGATGTGGAAGTACGTTGCTGTTTTTCATCATTCGTAGTATCTCCACTTTCTGTATCTGGGGCAGCATTGAATGTATTCTCAATATTGACATCCACAGTCGGTTGAGTACATGATGTATCCTCCATTTTCCTGGCAAGATTATTTGTCAATTAGAAACCTAGTGAACATTCAAAAAATTCAAAAGTAACTTAAAGCTACAGAGATCTATGTGTGCATAACAAAAGTAACTAAAGATAATAGAAGTAACAGAGATCTATGTGTGCACAACAGAAATTCAAAAGTAACTTAAAATTCAAATGTGTGCATAACAGAGATCTAGTATTGTGGTTAACAGTCAAGGTGCGATTGAGTACTAAAGATAGATGTCATTGGTACTCCTCAAATATTGACCCATACTGTGTTTTGTAGTTCAACCAAGGAAAATCACTCCTATTAGTTTTTTGAGTGCCCTTCTCTTTAAGAATCTGGACTTTCACTCTACAAAGACGTATCTTCTATAATGAATTCAAAGATCCATTTTCCATCCGAATAGGGACTCTAAAGAGAAATTTAAGTTCTCATTTTATTAAGGGTGGGAAGAACAAAAGGGATTGCAACTAGCACCTTCTTTTTATCAATCAGGGAAAACCAATCATAGCTTCTAAGAAAGATGGGTTGCAGTGATCAAACCATTAAGTTATAATTACGGTTCGTGTTTGTTTATCCCAATTATAGAGGTAAAAAGTAGTAGCCACCATTAGAACAACATGAAAGCCTAATTGCATCCTCAATCAGCACAAACAGTAGGGATTATAAGGAGCCAAGTACGGAGTGTGCCAATAAGAGACAATGAGCAAAATTTCCTAAAAATCGTGACAACCGGGCATTACTTTTTTCATTCATCACCAAAATTCAGAAAGTGAAAGTCCTATCTAGCTCGTTTATCATTCAAATAAGAAATATGGAAGCTTATGGTAAATCCATCCAAGAACAAACAGATCTGAGAACAAAAAAACGCTGAGACACCCACACAAACACGGAGAAAGAGAGAGAGAGAGAGAGAGAGCTAACCTAGACCTACTGTGGTCGCCGACGGCAAGGCAAGCTGAGACCGAGGGAAGGAGGAGGGAGGGAGGCGGGATGGACTGGATAGAGGGAAGGAGGCGGGTCTATTGGATAGAGGAAAATAGGAAATGAAGTTAGGGTTTGGAAAAAAGTAATTAAATCCTTTATATAGAGGTGGGTAATTTCGGGTCAAAACAGGTCAGTCGGGTTCGTGTCAACCCGATTAAATATATGGGTCAATTTGGGTAAATTCGGGTTAAGCGGGTGGAACCCGAACACGACCTATTAACACTCCGTGTTGACGGGTCGTGTCATATACGGTTGGGGTCAAAAAATTAGTCAACCCAAACCCATTTATTTGTGTCGTGTTCGTATCGGGTTATCGTGTCGTGTCAAAAATTGCCACCCCTAATGAGCACCTCATTACGACCTATGTTATATTTGATTAGTTTATTTTCTCTTTGGTGCATTATATTCAGCTTGGAAGTTTCAATATTTCTTTGATGAATATGTTCATTTATTTATTCTAATTGAGCCTCTGGTTGGACCGATGTGAGTTATCCATTGGCAGCTATACGCCACTCTGTTTGGCACCATTTATACTAAGTTTCAACTTTCAACCATTGATTTGAGATCTGTTTTCTTACTTAATAGCAATGTATGGGTAAACCACTGTTTTTGGAAAGAAAAATGGAAGGTAGGGGCGAGCTTGTAAACTGCCAGCACATATAGCCCAGACCAATTCTTTCCTTACCATTCTGTCTATTTAGCCAACTTCTTTTTCCTAAAGATCTAGTAGCTAAGACAACCTCTGGACCTGCCCTTTTACTAGCTTCTCCAATCTCCATTATGTTGGTTCATCTATTACTTATGTTGGAAATCTTTCTTACCACCAAACCACTCTCAATAGATGTTGCATCTTGAAAAGTGTGAAAAGGTGGTACATAGACGTAAGGGAATAATCTGGTTTGGTTTAGTAATGGAATCAAAAGGCTTGCCCAAACAGGGAACAGGAAGAAGTCAATAGCCTACAGGATTGCCAGTATGATTCAAGGGTAATATGGGCCATCAATTTGGAAGACACTGAAATGCATTGGTCATGGAATCACAGAGTGGTTTTTGGGCAATACGAATGAAATGTCAGGTAAAAGAAGGAGTAGAACATTACAAGTGATTCGTGCTGTCGCGGAGTTGGTGGAATGGTATTTGCTGATTTGATGATGATGGCTGAGGGAACTAGGGGTTGGCTTCGAGATGTTTCGAATGCCTTATCCATGTCGCATGAGACTCGTACTTATATGAAACATGGAGTAGAAGGTTTCGAGTCGGGTACAACTTGAGTCGTGTCATTGTTGGCTAGTCCTTTGCCATGATTGCCAGCGCTCAATAAGATTTGGCATCGACTTGGACTTCTCCACCCCCGACTTCTTTAGAACCAACAACAATTGGCACGGGAGACAAACACTTTCTAATGCAATTGAAAGGTTTTTGGATTGTAGCTCTTTGATCGCGAAGTTTCTGTCCAAGACTTTCTGCTGTTAGCCTTATTCTTCCAAACAATGTCAAATAGGGATCAAGATGACTGCTCTACCTTATCATGATCTTGTGATTCTGTCACATATATTTGTTTGCTTTTGATTTCTGATAATAATGTTGAGTGTATGAACACTAAGTTTCACCCTCTATTCAATTGAACTTTTATAGAACTTGGTAGTTTACAAAAATATCAAGTAGGTGATATTTTGAGTTCAAGTCTAATTGCTTCCCTTATTATTATGGATACAATTTGTTAGCCTATTGTCATGTTTTAGTATTTATCTTTTACACAACTAGTCCCAAGCCCTAATAAAGGAGGAGTATTGCGTTAAGTAACTGATAGATAACGTAAAACTTTGTTAGATCGAATAATAACTGGAATCACATAACGTATGTGTAAACACTCAACAGTCCCGGATGTTTAGAAAATTAGCAAGGGGAGACACATATAAAGTTTGTAGAAATGAAGATGTTAAAATAGATATGTTGTAAAATGGGAAATAATAGAATTATGAATAAGTACATTTGTGAAACAGTATAAGTAGTACCAATAGAAAGAAATTGAGAGAATATCGACTTAGATAATGTGAACATGTTTATAGAAGACTTACTAATGCACCACTAAGAATTAATGATTTAATACATATCGATGCTAATGCAAAAAGTAAATACATGTTTAAATAACGTTAAACGAAATAGTAAAATATGATATGATAACTCACTCTTATAGTCGAACAGAAAATATGGTCCTTGATAAAGCACAATGGAGAGACAAGATTTATGTAGTCTGTTAAACAACCATTTACTCCAAAAGTTTAAGCTGTTGAAGAGGGTGTAAATTAAATATTTATATTTCAACACGCTCTCACACGTGCATACTATATTTTAAGCCTATCACGTGAAAATCTTTTTTATAATTAGAATTGCAGTGAGATTCGAATACAGAACTTCCTGTTCGGATACCATGTTAAATGATCATCTACTCTAAAAGCTTAAGTTGTTGGAGAGGGTGTAATTTAAGTATTTATATTTCAACATAATCAACTTAAATAAATGGAATTAAGGCTTTATTAAGTTGAGTAGAATTGGTTGGCCCATTTATATAAGATTAGTTGACCACAAATGGGAAGTGTATGGATTGTAGAGTATCTATAAGTTGCACATTCTCTTATAGTTGATGGCTTGATGTGTATAGGACAAATGTTTGTAATGGAATGGGACTATTCTCATTCTCATATCTTCATATTTGTGTATAAATTCAGAATTACAATGTCAGACTTTTTCTTATGGCTTTTCAGATTTTTTGTTGCTCGATGCCATTCCCCTACAAAAGTTGTAGACAACATTTATTTATATTATATTATAGAAACCTTAAAAGTATGTGTGTTATTTATTTCCTCTTGAAGGTAGCATCTCATCTTTTTATATTGCTCCATATATAGTTTGAAGATTTTTAGCTTCAAAGGTTTCACATGGGGATGGCCATGGGTGGGTGGTACGCCGTGAAAACTTAGGGTCTGAACCAGAGGTTTAGGCTTGCAGCGCTGCCGGGCACGGTCCGGAATAGTAGCTGTTATACATATACTTATGTTTTTTTTTTTAATATATTATTTATGATTTTAAAGTATGAAAATTAAAAATAGGTGTTACACTTCAATAACAAAATACTGGCCCATGGGGCTGGATTGAGCCAAGAAGTCGTGGCCTTTGCATTTCCTGGCCTGAACTGACCCACGGCCAGCCCCAGTTCCACACTTGATTTTTTTAATGTTAGGCTCATGGGGTTACAAGAATATTTGCGGGATTGTTAGAATAATTAAATTGATAAAGGAGCAATGAAGAGAGAAGTGGAAGTGTGCATGCTTCATACATGAATTGTAGCTCATGTAGGCAATTATCTAACCCCAAATAGCTTGGATTTTAGCATTGGCTAAGTTGGGTTGTAAGAACATAACTATTAGATTCTGTTGAGTTTAGTGGTGATTAGTTGTGAAGGTGGAGAGCACTTTTCCGGAGGGAACTGTTGGCTTTTGAAGGCTCTGTGCAGAGGATGTCTTGGACAACAAGATAGACATTGAAATTGGTGTGAATGCAGGGCCTTACGAGGATATAGGACTGCTCTAGCCTAGCTCATTGGTTTGACTGAGTGGTTTACTTTTGTCTGTGGGCCTGAGAATTCGTCGTCTGTCTGTATGTCTTGTGTATGATTCAGCGACTGATATATCTGTATACTGGTATATGCATTTTATGCATTCTATTCCCACCAAATGACCTCAAAGCATGCAATTTTCTTGGAGCTTTAGTTTTCACTCAGATGTGTAAACTGAAGCAATCTAGCATTCACAAAAAGGCGGTAACTGCCCTTTTTTGTGGCTAACAAGCAAGTATACAGACTTCTTAGAGCATCGACTGATGCAATCAAGGCTGCTAACTTTTTGAGGTGGACCCTTGGCCACCTTTTCTGTAGTCTGTCCCTTGGTTCAAAGGTTGTAAACTTGAATTGGAGCTGTCTGAAAACTGAAAACTGATGTGTAATAAAGCATAGCCATTCCGGTAATTGCCCTAGTGTGGAAAAATAATTGTCGGTTTGTGCAGATCTATGTTTTCGAGGATCAATAATAGATACCACACTCAGACTATTTTCGTTCTTTTTTCTTTTTCTCTCTCCGTTTTTCAATTTCTATGATGAAGAAATATTTGATTCTCAGCATTTTAATCTAAGAGTCAGAGTGAAATCACAAACTTTCTTGAAATGTGAAAGCAAATAAAAATCTGAGACTTTTGGCATCCTAACCAATTTTTTGGACAAAATTTTACATGAATTTTTGTGGAAATGGGACTATCCATTGTAGGGGTGATTTATTCTTGTTCTACTGACCTCTTAAAGATTCTAGAAATAACATAGTAATGTCTGCTAAATACAATTTGGGTAGATGCAGTAAAATTTGGAGTGAAATAGAGTTGTTGTGTTGGCTGCCCTCTTTATGTCTTACTATAAGTACTGCTAATAGTACTTCTGATATATTAGAACATGGCCATTCTCTACTAGAGCATTGGCACCTGGATGAAGCGGGTGCAAATTTTGACACTTGTTCTTTTCTGCTCTGTATCTGTGATCTCTTGCACAATGATGTTGGAGAATTTCTGTAATTGCGGACTATTGTAAAAGGTTAAAACTTGAACCAATAATTACTGGAATTATTTATGCCTTTGTGGAACTCATGTAATTTTTCTGCACAAAAGCAAATTAGAGCTTTGCAATTACAGGTGCCAAAATGTTCCGTATCTGTTGATTCAGGTGCTCTAGTAGTAATTGAATTCATCAAATTTTCTGGATGTGAAAGCATGCTGAACCATTCTTGATTTTCTGTCTGCTCAATGTCTCACATTTTGAAGTCCTTATTTTCAGGTGGGATGAGGCCAATGGCTTGCTGGATGAGATGTTTACGAATAGGGTATCCAACATTCATCAGGTGATTGGGCAGATGATCAAGGGAGATTATGATGATATTTCTAATTGGCAGATGGTAGAGTACGTCTTGGACAAACTGAACTCTGAAGGTTGTGGTTTGGGGATGAGGTGCTACAACACACTTTTAGATGCACTTTGGTGGCTGGGCCAAAAGAAACAGGCTGCAGTAGTGCTCATTGAAGCAACAAAGCGGGGGATTTTTCCTGAACTATTTTGTATCAGTAAACTTGTTTGGCCTGTGGATGTACACAGGTATCACTGGCACTATCCACTTTAAGTTTTGTCCTTTCCTGAAAAGATAGGAAGGATAAAGACATAAAAAAGGAAGGAAATGTTAGCTATTGTGTGTTCATTCCTCCTATGTGATGTTTGATTTGCAGAATGTGGCCTGGTGGTGCATGCACAGCAACATCAGTTTGGCTCAACAATATGCAGGAGATGTTGATAAATGGGGAGGATCTTCCTCAAATGGCGACTGTTGTTGTAGTGTAAGCTCTTTTTTCTTTGTGGTTACTCGTACTCGTCATTTTGAATGCCTATGGGGCTGGTGGTCTTGACAGTCACCAAGCAGGAGGGCCCGGACTAGTACAACAAATGTTAAGTAGTTTGTTTTAATAAGCACACCTAATTTGGTTGTATATGTTTGCATGATCACACCATGAAAATTAACTCTATACTACTTTCTTCAATGTCATGGCATTGGCCGAACTAAGTTTGGGTTTAGTGTTGATGAACCTAGTTTGAGCAAATGTTTTTTCAGGTGTGGTATTTGGTTGAATTGTGCTTGGGTTGGGTTTTGTCTACAATGTTTTCTGGGTACTGTCATATATATAGATGGATTCCAACTTTTGGACGGCCAAAGGCGAGCCAAGAATTTTCTTTATACATTTGTCTCCTGCCAATTAAAGATGTCCATAGCCAACTGGGTGACGGTAATGTTATAGAGGAATTGTCTACTCAACCTGAACTGAAATTGGGTCTCATATCAAATAAACAAATGGGTATTTTGAAAGGCAGTGTCTGGACTGGGACTTCAACCCCCCCCCCCCCCTCTCTCTCTCTCTCTCTATATATATATATATATATATATGCATGTGTGTGTATTAGCCCCCCATTCCATACTATCTATTTTCTTGTAACAATGGATTCTTTCTTTTAAGCAGGCGGGGGCAGATGGAGACGAGTTCAATGACACGAGATTTTCCTGTTGCCAAGGCTGCTTATTCTTTTTTGAAGGATAATGTTTCATCATCCTTTTGTTTTCCTGGGTGGAACAAGGGACGGATTGTCTGTCAACGGTCTCAGCTAAAGAAAATTCTATCTGGGACGGAATCATCTTCAGATGGGTCCAAAAAAGATCATATTTGTACTTTAAACAATTCCCACATTCCTCTTCCGGAAACTAGAACATCCATGGGTGATGCCAAGAGAGGCCAATATGGCAATGCTGATACTGAAACAAGTAGAACAAGTACAGAACTTGCGACTAGCACTGTAGAGGCAAAAAATTATACCTCTGAGTGAATTTGTGATATGACTTATGGGAATCAAGAATCAAATCTGAACAATCTCCTTAACTCTTTTCTACAAAACAAACAAACTGTCTAAGATCGAAGTACTTCGTTCGAAGGTATTTCGATGCTTAAGTCAGTAATGGAACATGAAGAATTGTGCTAAGACTAGGAGAATTTAACGTATTTTTCACCTTGGTCTCTTCTGTTTTTTATAGATCTTTACACTCTTAGGATTTCCATGAATTTAGGTTTAAGGTGACACATCTTCCTTTAATTCAGTTGTTGAGTTTGGGGAGTTATTGATATTTCTCCAATAATTCCTCCTGATATTTACAATTTTGTTGATTCGTTTATTTGATTGCCTAGGCGTATCTTTATCCTTTTGTTTATCTAAAACAATTCAGATATATCACATGCCGAGCATTCTTAATTTAAGCCAAACAGATTAAGGAACTTGGTTTGGCACAAACCTATTTCCTTGATTGCCATGCTAAATACTTTATCAGACTCGGTTTGGTACAAGTCGAGTTCATTCATTGCTTAATCAAACAGATTGATGAGTTCAGTCATAAAGAGAATCAATATATTGTCGAACCTTTAATTAGCTCGGCTCGATTGGAAAACTCTTAATAAACGATTCTTCATCATGTGGCCGGTCTTATCAACATCACGTAAGCACATTTAATGTTGCGTTACGTGTAATCATGAGGTTTAATCCCTTCATTTGTCCCCATAAAATATCTGACACACGTTTTTCGTCTATCAACTGTTTTCTTATCGATTCATCATTACTTGTACTTTGTATCCTGTCTTTTCGTTTTGGCGGTACATTCAGAACATTTAAATGTTGCCCTTTAAAATTCCTTTCTCTTCATAAACTGTCTCTCTTTCTTCGTATTTTATTCATTTTGCTTTCTGCTTTCATACTCTAATTCTCTCTTCTGTGTTTTGTCTCTCTTAAGTTTGCATCATCTCCTCTTCAATGGCTCTTCTTACTCCATCAGAAGTTCCTGCTTTCAAAGCCAAATATAACAATTCAAACGACATCGAAGTTAAAGTTGCAGGGAAAGATGAGCCACTGATTGGGACCAGAGAGAGAATACCCATCCCTACTCGAGCCATTACTAAGGGTGGAATTCGTTTTCCCCTCGATCCACTTATTTTCTAGGTTCTTTCTGTCGCTAAACTCTGCCCCCTCCAATGCTGCCTCAATTTCTTTAGGATAGTCATTGGGGTGTCTGCTTTAAACAAAATCTTAGGTCTGAGTCTAGGTTTATGGGACATCTTGTATTGCAACATCATCAAAGTTGCTGGAGACGGCTATTATTTTTCGGTCAGGAAAAATGACTGCTATTTGGTCACCCATCTTCTCGATTCGAACAAAGGTCATCAAAATGACATTGTGTTTGTTTCTGGGAACTGGGAGTACCCTGATGGTGCTTCACCCTCTTATCGCTGCCCCTATGAAGAAGGCGCACCAGGTATTTGAACTTTCTTTTCCCCCAAAAATACTTGTTGTTCTTCCTTTTCTTGTATCTGTTATGTTAATTGTGCAGGAGAGATGGTAAAAGGAAAAATCCCTGAAGCTTTTGTTAAGTTGGACCAACTCCAAAAGGTTTGGGATTTCAACGAATCTTTGTTCTTCCGTGCTGTGCATACGTTGCTGGGGTACACACCGAACTATACGTCTTTTATTGCCGTGCCGAACCGACCTAATGCGATGCTAGCAGCAGATTGGGAGGTAATACAATATGTTAGAGAGAAGACACCCCGAGGAAAAAAGAGACATCTAGCAGCCTCTGGACGAAGGTCTGTAAGGAGTTTTTTAGACTTTTTGTCAACAGCTGAGCCGACTCTTCCCTCCAAACCGACTCCACCTGTCTCAATTGCTCCAATTTCTGTTCTTGACGAATCGTCTGTCGAGGCCTTTCCCGAGGTGCTTCTTTCTATTAACGCTGGCTTGCCTTTAGATGATCAAGCGGATTTGGCCCAAGTTGTTGAAACTTCTGTTCGTGTTGAAACGGATCCTCCAGAACCTGTCCTTTCCCCTGTTCAAGAAGATGATTCAATTTTTGAGCTCGCCGAAGACTCGGCCCCTAAAAGGTGAAGGATTGCTAAGTCTGAAGCGAGCTTTCCTGCTGATCCTTCCAATCTTCCATTCCGACCAATCCATAGAGCAAAAAAGAGGGAAATCATTGCCAAGGACTTTGCAATCGAAGATTTAATGTTGCAGTAAAGATTGCCCGAGGAGTGATTTTGCCTAGAGATCTGACAATGAATGAAGCTCTCACTGATGATGAAGTGTCTCGTCAGACAATCCAACATATGATTTTGGTAAGTCCTGAGTCTGACTTCTTTTAAGCTTTTTTCCTTTGAAAATTTTCTAAGTCTTTTCTTTCTTCGCATCTTCAAGGATTTGCAAAAAGTTCATGAGGTTGGAGCACGAATAGCTCGGAAGAACAAGGCAATGCAGGGCGTCATTCATGCCCGAGCTTCTGCTCTGGCCAAAAAAAGAAAGCGTGGATGAGGAGTACGCGAAGGTTTGTGAAGAAGTGAAGGTTCTGCAGGCTAAAAATCAAAGCCTGATCGAGGAAAACCAGAGGCTTTCTTCAAACGTTGAGAAATTGAAAGAGTTCGAGCATTAAATCAATGTGGAGCTCTCCTAGTCCCAACTTGACTATTCCACACTCCTTGAGGAGTTTGAGCAATTCAAGGCCGAGGTTAAAGGGAATGAAGATGCTGCTTATAATGATGGAATGAAGAAAGTTAAGGACGACCTAGCCTTTCAGATCCCTCAGCTACAAGAGGCATTCTTCAGCAGGGGCTAGCAGGCTGTATTGACAGCTGCCGAGGTTGATCCTTCTTCGAAACTTTTCTTGAAGCATACAGGTCCGAGCTCCTCTCGTCCACCTACTCCTTCAAACACTTAAGATTTTTTTTGAATGTTTTGAAATCTCTGATGTTACTATAATTTTTTGATGTACTTGTTACAATGGTCATGATCTTGTAAAAAATCTTTGAAGTATAAATGTAAAACACCTTTTGGCCTTTCTGGTTCTGTAGTTTGTGCTAATGTTTTGAAAAAGTTTAGGTCTTTTTTGCTGTCTTGGCATTTGCTCGGCCCTTTTCAAAGAGGTTGGTTCCTCAGTAGAGTTACTCAAAGCCCTCTTGAGATCTAAGAGTGTTTCTATTTCGCACCGACCCACCAATCTGATTGGACTCAAACTCATCCCTAGTCAGCTTACATTGTCATGCCTAGCTGAGGGCCTGGATTTGATTGGGTGGTTGCGCCTGATTTAAGCTTTTGACTTCTATCAGGTTTTTGGCCTCCATGCCTTAACAATATGACGTATAAAAATGCAAAACAAGTGTAGGGAAAAAGAATCTTCAAATTTTTATTGATAACTTTGATTTGATACATTTACTGCTGGTACATCATCACCTAAAGGGCACCCTTAAATATCCGAAGGTACTTCGGAGTTCTATTAAAAAGGTATTTTTTTAGAAATAGAACCTTTTGAGGTTTGCACTGTTCCAGGGACGCGGTACGGCCTTATGATCCAAGGTCTCGAGTTCGTAATACCCGGTGCCCCCAATTTTGACTATTCTGTATGGTCATTCCCAGTTTGCTCCGAGCTTCCCGTGGGTTGGGTTCTTAGTCGAGCCTAATATTCGCCTGAGTACTAGGTCTCCAAGTGAGAAGGACTGAAGGTTTATATTGTTGTTGTAGGCTTGGGATATCTGATTCCGATATGAAGTTATTCTTATGGCGACCCGTTCTTTCTTTTCTTCAGCTAGATCCAGATCTCGTGCGATGAAGGCATCGTTGCTACTGCTTTCAACCAGCTTGGTCTTCAAGGTTGGTAGGCCGATCTCCAAAGGAATGACAGCCTCCATTTCGTAGGCCAAGGCGAAGGGAGTTTTTTCAGTTGACCGCCGAGGTGTGTTCGGTACGTCCACAATACATTCTGCAACTCTTCAACCCATCTCCCTTTGGCATTCTCAAGCCTATTCTTGATCCCATCCAAGATTGTCTTATTAGTAATCTCCGCTTGCCCATTGCTTTGAGGGTACGCGGGGGTGGAATAGTGATTACGAATTTTGTATTACTGACAGAAAGCTTTGAAGAAGGGACCACTATCGAACTGCGTGCCATTATCTGGTGATGATGTTTCTCCAGACGAACTTTCTTGTGTCAGTATCTCTGATGTTAGCCAACGCTTCGGCTTCAACCCATTTTGTGAAATAATCAGTTGCGACAAGAAGGTACTTTTTGTTGCCTGGTGCCCGAGGTAAAGGTTCCATAATGTCTAATCCCCACTGCGCGAACGACCATGAGCTGACTAAAGGAAGCAGTTTGTTGGATGGTTTTCTCGGGATTGGTGAAAATTTTTGACACTTGTCGCATCGCCTAACAAACTGTTGAGCGTCCTTCTGCATATACGACCGCCAAAAACCTTGAGAGATGGCTCGGTGAGCTAGGGATCTTCCCCCTGTATGAGCTCCACAACATCCCTCGTGTATTTCGGAGAGGAAGTCGGCTACTATTGTTGGGTGCACACATTTTAGATATGGACCTCCGAATGAACACCGATATAATTCATCCTTTGGGGATAGCCAGAACCTGACAGCTTTTAGGTACAGCTTGTGAGCTTCCTTACTGTCCTCAGGCAAGTCATCGTTCTTTAAGAACCCAATTATTGGATCCATCCAGCTCGGCCCAAATTCTTGACATAAGACTTCCTCAATCCAGGTTGGCAGAATATTAGGCTCGGGCTGGTACTCAATAGTTAACGATCTTGCTACGTCCTGCTCTATTGCCGAGGCCAGTGAAGCTAAAGCATCGGCATGTGAATTCTTAGCCCTCCCAATCTTTGTATTGAATACTCTGGTATTTTGCTCAGTTCCTTATCGGCCACGACCTGATATGTTATCATTCTTTCATCCTTTGCCGCATACTCCCCTATTATCTGATTCACCACTAGTTGTGAATCAGAGAATATCTGGAGCTTTAATA